ATGATGTCACATTGTCTATAACATGTTTAGTTGTTGACATTATTCATTTTCCTGGAGACATTCTCTTAGGTCTGTACACCATGATTGATGAAAATATTGCATTGTTTCCCCATTGTTGGAACATAAGTATCAAAGACCATGTCATACCCTTGAGTAGCATGTATCGACAGGGTCATGAGTTCAACCTTCAATCAGACTATGTTAATTTTGTTGACACCCGCCTTGCTAGCGTAGATTTGTCAGATCCTCGTCGTGGTAGTATACCAGAGAAAACAGGCACTTGGTTGAAGTATCGTAGTTGTGCAGTTGTTAAGGAGGGTGAGTATAGGGACTTTCTGGAAGGGGACGCCCTAACAGATTCTCATTGTCTCGCTCACCTGGTAGCTTCCATCTCTGAAGTCAGTGGTTCCACGGCTACTGACACTGTGCTGCACTCTCATTCTCTCACCAGAATTAGAGTTAAGGTTCAAGGAGTGCCTGAGTTGTCGGATGTGATTGCAGAAAGTGTAACATTTAAAGTGAATGGTACGTTTGTTGAACCCTCCTGGCACACAGTGCAGGATGGTACTGTTACATTGTATATTGCAATCACTAGTAATGCCGACATCCATCTCCAGTCTGGCACCCATGTTGTAGATTTTGCTCATTATTCGTTACCGGTGCGAGTTGTGGATGATGTCTCCATGGATCATACTGTTTGTACTCTCACACCAGGAGAACAGGGATCTCAGCCAGAGGTGCAAGCGCTACACCTCAGTCCTACTGATTTTCCTGACTCTGTGGCTCAGCTTTTAGAAATTTTGAACAGGAATAGAGCCATTGTTGCTCTACCAGGAGAAAAGTTAGGTTTCACTCCTCTTATTACACATAAAATTCCCCTTGAACAAGTAACTACGCCTATTTATGTACCAGCTTTCCATCTTCCCCATTCTCAGAGAGCAGAAGCCGATAGACTCATAGAGGAAATGTTACAGAGTGATGTAATTGAATCGAGTAATTCGCCATGGAACGCTCCATTGATTCTTGTACAAAAGTGAGATGGGACTTGGAGACCTGTAATTGATTATCGGAAGCTTAACAGAGTAATGATACCTGATCGTTTCCCACTTCCAGTCCTAAATGATTTGCTGCAAAGTATTGGTCAAAACAAAGTATTCTCAACGTTAGATTAGATTCTGGCAAATTTTGACTAAGCAAGACACTCACCCGATTCATAAACCACCAGTACCATTGAAGGAGTTAGTGATGTTAGACAATTTACTGTGTAGAGTAGTAAAGTTAGGGACAGCCCCGAGAAAATGTTGTCAGTTAGTTGTTCCAGCTGTCTTGGTACCAACTGTGTTATAAATTATCCATGATGCTCCCGCAAGTGCACATCCAGGAAAGGATCGTACACTCCAACAAGGTCGATTGAAGTATTTTTGGCCAAAAATGGCTAAGGAGATTGCTCATTATGTTGACAGATGTTTAACCTGCTTACAGCACAAGTGACATGTAGCAAGACCTAATCCAATTCAGGTGTACCCAGCAACTAAAGTTCCTTGGGAACGAGTATCGATGGATTTGTTGAAAAATTTTGCAGAAACAGAAAAAGGGAACAAACACTTGCTTGTAATGGTTGATAATTTTTCACATTATTGCAAACTAGTGCCTATCCCGAACAAAACAGCAGAAACTATAGCCAGTGCATTCCATGACCAAATAATTTGTAGATATAGTATGCCTAAAGTAATCCTTTCAGATAATGGTCCAGAATTCAGTAATAGTATTTTAACTAGCTTGTGTGATTTATATAACATTAAAAAATGTAGTATCATGCCTTACAGGCCAGCAAGTAATGGATTAGCAGAACGTACTAACAGGAAAGCGCTAAATGCCTTGAGAGTCATGTTGAATTTTGATAACAGCAATTGGGATGATTTTATACCCTTAATTCAGTGCGCCATAAATTCTTCAATTAATGTTTCTAGAGGTGACACACCTCACGCTATTCTTTATGGTACAGATAAGATCCTCCCTAATGAATTGACTAATGTACCTCCTAATCCTTTATATAACGTAGATGATTTTGTTCAAGTGAAGCATAGACAAATGCAATTAGTATTCAAGAAAATACGAGAACAACTGTCCAAAGCCACAGCCGAGTTCACTTGAGCAAGGAATGCACGAGCTAAACCCTGTAAGATAACTATTTGATCTGTAGTAATGATACTTAACCAACACTGGTCTGGCCCTATGTACAAGTTAACTAAGAAATTTTTGGGTCCATATAAGGTAATCGGGTTTATTAAAGATAACAAGTACAGACTTAGGAACTTGTTAACAGGAGAGTATATAAATGAACATTTAGACCACATGAAGGTAGCTAAAATGATTGTTGACGAGACTGATGAGGAAGATGACAATGAACTTACCCAGACAGATCCTCCTATTGGGACACCACCTTCTGTGGTTGTCAGACCACTTGAAGTACAGCAATCCCATACTAGCACCTATAATCTTAGATCTAGACCTCTCCTTTCAACCGTGCACTCACCCCATGTCCATTGGCTAGATGTTAACGAGGTTATCTCTCAAGATGATAGTTTGTCACATGCAGTTTCATCTGTTCCTGACCTTCAGTCAGAGCCAGAGTTGTATAGTGCTCTGGATGAGCTAGGTGTAGATATCCGCAGAATTTATAATTAAATGCACTCTGCAGTTATTCTGTTTGTTTCGCAAAATTCATTTGCAGTATTTCCACCACATGTGTCTTATTATTACCAATATATATATATATAGTATTTATATATATATATGTATATATATATATATATATATATATATATATATATAATAATCCTTCTCAACATTATTTTGTATCATATATTAGATGCCATTGTTAAGTCTACTACCATTTGTATTTTTACAGTGCTTGTCATAAAGAGTTCATTAATGTTCTAGCCACCACACTGAGGCCAGTGAATCCTGACTGCTATCACTCAGATGTTAGTCTCCTTGATCCAGGTCTTGTATATAGCTTGTAAATATAACATTAAATATATTGTACATTAAAAAAAAATCATTATCTAATCTTAAAATTCATTTGTGGTTGTTAGGTCAGAACTTTTTGTTCCATTAATGTAATAATTGTCTTTAATTTTGTATTGTTTTCAAGCACATGCCATTAACACATGTTAATAACTTTGTTTAGGCAATACTTTGAGTTGTATTGTTCATATCTGATAAGTAGACATACACATGTTCTTAATACTCTGGTTTAATTAAAGCATTGTTACCATGATTTTTCACACCTGATCTTCTTTTAATGTTTTATTATGCAAATTTCACATGTAAGCCATTATTGAATGCCACCGAGGTCCTTTCAGTATCATTGTAACTATATAGCTAGCCAGAGCTTGTCGACAAGGGACGTCGACTTGGTAGTGTGTCCGAGCGGTGTTAATACTCAAATTGTATGATGGTTGAAACATAACCAATCACAGACGAGTAGGCCTCTAACGTCATGCCAGACAGAGCGGCACCAGCCATGCTACCAGCAGGCCTCAATATTCTCACAGACCTAGAGCAGGTTGAACCTCGGCTGGCCAGTTATACACCTTGTGGCCTCACTCAATAAAACTATTGAAGTGTCTACTGTGTTTTTCAGTTTCGTCTTATCCTTGACTAGATATGGACTCCATGCTGGGGCTGCATACTCCAGGATTGGCCTGACATATGTGGTATACAAAGTTCTGAATGATTCTTTACACAAGTTTCTGAATGCCGTTCGTATGTTGGCCAGCCTGGCATATGCCGCTGATGTTATCCTCTTGATATGTGCTGCAGGAGACAGGTCTGGCGTGATATCAACCCCCAAGTCTTTTTCTTTCTCTGACTCCTGAAGAATTTCCTCTCCCAGATGATACCTCGTATCTGGCCTCCTGCTCCCTACACCTATCTTCATTACATTACATTTGGTTGTGTTAAACTCTAACAACCATTTGTTCGACCATTCCTTCAGCTTGTCTAGGTTTTCTTGAAGCCTCAAACAGTCCTCTTCTGTTTTAATCCTTCTCATAATTTTAGCATCGTCCGCAAACATTGAGAGAAATGAATCGATACCCTCCGGGAGATGTACTCACCTAATTGTACTCACCTAATTGTGCTTGCGGGGGTTGAGCTTTGGCTCTTTGGTCCCGCCTCTCAACCGTCAATCAACTGGTGTACAGGTTCCTGAGCCTACTGGTCTCTATCATATCTACATTTGAAACTGTGTATGGAGTCAGCCTCCACCACATCACTTCCTAGTGCATTCCATTTACTAAATACTCTGACACTGAAAAAGTTCTTTCTGATGTCACTGTGGCTCATTTGGGTACTCAGTTTCCACCTGTGTCCCCTTGTTCGCGTCCCTCCAGTGTTGAATAGTTCATCCTTGTTTACCCGGTCGATTCCCCTGAGGATTTTGTAGGTTGTGATCATGTCCCCCCCTTACTCTTCTGTCTTAAAGTGTCGTAAGGTGCATTTCCCGCAGCCTTTCCTCATAACTCATGCCTCTTAGTTCTGGGACTAGTCTACTAGCATACCTTTGGACTTTTTCCAGCTTCGTCTTGTGCTTGACAAGGTACGGGCTCCATGCTGGGGCCGCATACTCCAGGATTGGTCTTTCATATGTGGTGTACAAGATTCTGAATGATTCCTTACACAGGTTCCTGAACGCCGTTCTGATGTTAGATGTGTGTTTGTGTGCGTGTGTGTGTGTGTGTGTGTGTGTGTGTGTGTGTGTGTGTGTGTGTGTGTGTGTGTGTGTGTGTGTGTGTGTGTGTGTTTGTACTCACAATTTATTACTCAAGTATTTTATGTTTCCTTCCTAGGTCTAAGTCATGCTCTCTGACGCCTAATAGAATACACAGGTGTGCTATACTAGGGCAAGGAATATTTAAGATTGTTTTTTAGCTTTATTTTTTTCGGACTCTATAAAGTAAACAATACCAAATTATACTATGTAATTGTCCATTATGCTTACGTATATACGCCATAGTTACAGATAACATTATCTAAACAGGTGGATGGGGTGCTTATGGGATAATGGGACAAAGGCTTTCCAAAAGTGTAAAATGCGCAATCTGTCTATTTTTTCTGTCATGTCATATTTTGGTTTACTGGACGATAAAATCTATTAACTCTGTGAGACCAGATTTGCCATTCCAGAACCCGTGGTGGTGGAGTGTTACAAAGTTCCTATTTTCCAGGTGTTTCCAGATTAGCCATTTTCTCAAACTCTTCTCCATGGTTTTGCTACCAGCTGCCACCTCTGCTGCAGCCCGCCACCTCTGCTGCAGCCCGCCACCTCTGCTACCAGCCGCCACCTCTGCTGCAGCCCCCCCCCCCACTTCTGCTGCAGCCCGCCACCTCTGCTACCAGCCGCCACCTCTGCTGCAGCCCCCCCCCACTTCTGCTGCAGCCCGCCACCTCTGCTACCAGCCGCCACCTCTGCTACCAGCCGCCACCTCTGCTGCAGCCCGCCACCTCTGCTGCAGCCCGCCACCTCTGCTACCAGCCGCCACCTCTGCTGCAGCCCGCCACCTCTGCTACCAGCCGCCACCTCTGCTACCAGCCGCCACCTCTGCTACCAGCCGCCACCTCTGCTACCTGCCGCCACCTCTGCTACCAGCCGCCACCTCTGCTACCAGCCGCCACCTCTGCTACCAGCCGCCACCTCTGCTGCAGCCCGCCACCTCTGCTACCAGCCGCCACCTCTGCTGCAGCCCCCCCCCCCACCTCTGCTGCAGCCCGCCACCTCTGCTGCAGCCCGCCACCTCTGCTGCAGCCCGCCACCTCTGCTACCAGCCGCCACCTCTGCTGCAGCCCGCCACCTCTGCTACCAGCCGCCACCTCTGCTGCAGCCCCCCACCTCTGCTACCAGCCGCCACCTCTGCTGCAGCCCCCCACCTCTGATACCAGCCGCCACCTCTGCTGCAGCCCCCCACCTCTGCTACCAGCCGCCACCTCTGCTGCAGCCCGCCACCTCTGCTGCAGCCCCCCACCTCTACTGCAGCCCCCCACCTCTGCTACCAGCCGCCACCTCTGCTGCAGCCCGCCACCTCTGCTGCAGCCCCCCCACCTCTGCTGCAGCCCCCCACCTCTGCTGCAGCCCCCCACCTCTGCTGCAGCCCGCCACCTCTGCTGCAGCCCCCCACCTCTGCTGCAGCCCCCCACCTCTGCTACCAGCCGCCACCTCTGCTACCAGCCGCCACCTCTGCTGCAGCCCGCCACCTCTGCTGCAGCCCGCCACCTCTGCTGCAGCCCCCCACCTCTGCTACCAGCCGCCACCTCTGCTACCAGCCGCCACCTCTGCTGCAGCCCGCCACCTCTGCTGCCAGCCGCCACCTCTGCTACCAGCCGCCACCTCTGCTGCAGCCCGCCACCTCTGCTACCAGCCGCCACCTCTGCTGCAGCCCGCCACCTCTGCTGCAGCCCGCCACCTCTGCTACCAGCCGCCACCTCTGCTGCAGCCCGCCACCTCTGCTACCAGCCGCCACCTCTGCTGCAGCCCGCCACCTCTGCTACCAGCCGCCACCTCTGCTGCAGTCCCCCACCTCTGCTACCAGCCGCCACCTCTGCTGCAGCCCCCCACCTCTGATACCAGCCGGCACCTCTGCTGCAGCCCCCCACCTCTGCTACCAGCCGCCACCTCTGCTGCAGCCCGCCACCTCTGCTGCAGCCCCCCACCTCTGCTGCAGCCCCCCACCTCTGCTACCAGCCGCCACCTCTGCTGCAGCCCGCCACCTCTGCTGCAGCCCCCCACCTCTGCTGCAGCCCCCCACCTCTGCTACCAGCCGCCACCTCTGCTGCAGCCCGCCACCTCTGCTGCAGCCCCCCACCTCTGCTGCAGCCCCCCACCTCTGCTACCAGCCGCCACCTCTGCTACCAGCCGCCACCTCTGCTGCAGCCCGCCACCTCTGCTGCAGCCCCCCACCTCTGCTGCAGCCCCCCACCTCTGCTACCAGCCGCCACCTCTGCTACCAGCCGCCACCTCTGCTGCAGCCCGCCACCTCTGCTACCAGCCGCCACCTCTGCTACCAGCCGCCACCTCTGCTGCAGCCCGCCACCTCTGCTACCAGCCGCCACCTCTGCTGCAGCCCGCCACCTCTGCTGCAGCCCGCCACCTCTGCTACCAGCCGCCACCTCTGCTGCAGCCCGCCACCTCTGCTACCAGCTGCCACTTCTGCTGCAGCCCGCCACCTCTGCTACCAGCCGCCACCTCTGCTACCAGCCGCCACCTCTGCTACCAGCCGCCACCTCTGCTACCAGCCGCCACCTCTGCTGCAGCCCGCCACCTCTGCTACCAGCTGCCACCTCTGCTACCAGCCGCCACCTCTGCTACCAGCCGCCACCTCTGCTGCAGCCCCCCACCTCTGCTGCAGCCCGCCACCTCTGCTACCAGCCGCCACCTCTGCTGCAGCCCGCCACCTCTGTTACCAGCCGCCACCTCTGCTACCAGCCGCCACCTCTGCTGCAGCCCGCCACCTCTGCTACCAGCCGCCACCTCTGCTACCAGCCGCCACCTCTGCTACCAGCCGCCGCCTCTGCTGCAGCCCGCCACCTCTGCTGCAGCCCGCCACCTCTGCTACCAGCCGCCACCTCTGTTACCAGCCGCCACCTCTGCTGCAGCCCGCCACCTCTGGTACCAGCCGCCGCCTCTGCTGCAGCCCGCCACCTCTGCTGCAGCCCGCCACCTCTGCTACCAGCCGCCACCTCTGTTACCAGCCGCCACCTCTGCTACCAGCCGCCACCTCTGCTGCAGCCCGCCACCTCTGCTACCAGCCGCCACCTCTGCTACCAGCCGCCACCTCTGCTACCAGACGCCACCTCTGCTACCAGCCGCCACCTCTGCTACCAGCTGCCACCCTTGCCGACATCTGCAGCCGTTTCAACCGGGCCCGACCCTTCCGCCATCTCTCCCTCTCTTTCCTCTTCTTTCTCACCACTCCCCTTTTCTCCTATCACCCCTTCTATCCTATTCTGCAATCTCCCCTCTTCTTCCCTTTTCTCCCTCTCATCCCTCACAACCCTCTCTCTCTTCTCTGATACCCTTCCAAACCCCTCATTCAATCCCTCCTCTCTCCTGCCCCCCTATCATTGTGGCCCTACCGTCCCCCTCCCCCCCCCCACCCGTGAGACCAGGACATTGATACAAGGACCTGACGGGGTAATGGGACAAAGGACCTAACAGTTATGCGCTTCTCTCTCCTTTCGTAACAATTCATCCCATGTTTACAACATATAAAAATGACTCACATGTACAGGCGTTTAGGGTTAGAATCTAGTTCTTGGGCTCGGCTCTAGTCATGTGACACGCTCTTCGTTTGTAGTTTCGACGCCTGTCGTCTGTTTCCATCGAAATTTTAAATTTATGCATTCAGACCTGAGATAAAGGCCAGACTCTAGTTCATGGGCTCTGCTCTTCCGTTGTTTTCAGTTTATAGTTCGTTGTTCCTGTGTCCATTCTTTTTCCACAAAATTGCATACTATCCGGAGACCGATCTTAAACTGTAGCTCTTGGACCCAGACATAACTCTTAGACTTTGATCAACATGTCACTGATCGTTGTTGTTGATGATGTTAATTTCCACACACTATCAGAGGAGGTTCGACCTTGTAGTGCTGAGAACAATCACTATATGTCTTTTAAAGGTATATAACCCAGCAATTATAGCCCATGTTAACCACAGCTAACCTCACCTCACCTCACCAATCTGAACCTCACCTAGCCTTACAGACGATGAGTCGCAATAACGTGGCTGAAGATATAAAGACTAAACCACACACCAGAACATGAGACGACGACGACGTTTTGGTCCTTCCTGGACCATTATCAAGTAGATTGTGGACCATTATGACAATCGGCTTGATAATGATCCAGGACGGAGCGAAACGTCGTCTTCTCATCTTCTAGCATATGGTTTCGACTTCCCTGAACTTTAACAGAACCTGATAGACCCTTACATAACATAATAACATTTAACCTAACAATGGAGTTTAACCTAACCTAGCAGAATCTTATCTAAACTTTCAGAACCAGAAAAACGTAACCTAACCTTTCCTCACCTGAGAAACTTAACAAAAACCACACCTTACAAATCAGAACCCCCCCAATCTTACAGAACGTAACAGAGCCACACAATCTTACAGAAACCAACAGAACCTCACCTAAGCTTACCTAACCTAACACAGTCTTACAACGATGCTTACAAGCATCACTGACAGACAAAGCAGCAGTACAAACAGCAGGAGAAACAGCGGCCTCGCCTGGAATCATGCTTTCAAAAGGTGTCAAGGGAACAAGGATAAGGATGTGAATAACTTTTTTGTTATAATATGAAGTACCTATTTCCATAATTGAGTGTTAATTTACGCAGTAGAGGTTATAACCTCCCACAGGTTATACTTATATATATATATATTAAAATAAATCCCAGTAGCCATGACTAATCCATATGGGAAATAACACTTCACTTTCCTCCTCCTTTTAAGAATGTGCTCAAAGGTGTTTTGTTGAGATTATCCAAACAAATGATGTCTCTGTTATTCTGTAGCTTTTTTAAGCCTATGATAAAAATACTCATCCAGACTTCAGGCTTTGTACTGCGGCGTTATGCAAGATGATGAAATCTCTAATGCACTCGCACGCACTGGGTGATTAATTCAGTTGGGCGGGATAGAACTGCGTAACTCTCTGCAGGTATTTTAGGGATTTACCCATTTCTTACCCAGTGGTTAATAAACACCCTAATTATCACACACAGAAATCACAATAGCGTGATGCATCAAATGAACGAATCCACAAGGGCTGTGACAAGGATTCGAACCTACGTCCGAAAGGATCCAAGACGCTGCCTAAATGACTGAGCTACAACATGGTAAAAGAATTGCAATCGGAAAATCATCCTGATTTCTGCAGGATGACTGCAGGATCCGTTGGTAAATCAGGATGATTTCCCGGTTGCAATTATTTTACCATGTCGTAGCTCAGTCGATTAAGGCAGCGTCTGGGATCCTCTCGGACGTGGGTTCAAACCTCTCGTCACGTCCCTTGCGGATTTGTTCACCCTAATTATCACCTCTTTCAATACCCGTTTATCTGCTCATTCCATTCTATCATGTCACCTATCTAGAGATGATATGTAGAAAGCCCTATTAATATATCACACTTTATACCCATTGTTGTAACCCCAGGTAGCCTGAAGAACGAGTCTACCTATCTGAGAGTTATTCCACATACGAGACCTAATTGTGGGGGTCAGCGGAAAGATATATTTATATCTATGTAATAAAGGTCGATGTCAAAATTTAAAATATAAGCAGAGGTTGAACATGTAGATAACTGACATGAAATGAGATGTCGATGCTTTGGCGACATGATGTGAGGCTCGCGGACGACGGCATGACCTTAATTGAACAACAGAGATCGTGAGAGAGGATCGCTTTTTGCTGAGCTCCTGGCAAAGGAAGAACCCCTAGTTGTGTGCTCCTACAAGAGGAGGTAATCAAGCAGGGGTTTGTGTGTGAAGCCTGAGGACGACTGAAAGTGCTCAAGTCAGGACTAGAAGAAGCCTTGTGTGGCAGTCAAGAATCATTTTCGTGGGCGCCCTATGAGAGTGCCATATTGAGATTCAGAGAGTGAGCATCCTCGTGTCAGAAGATTTCGGGGGTAAGCCTATTTAATCAGGTGTTAATTTAGCCACTAGTGTTTGATCGTGTGCCCATGCAGTGATCATAATGCACATATGTGTATGTAGGATAGATAATTTATTGAGGCAATAAGCTGGAATGAGGAGTTTGAGGTAAGGTAATTATCAAAAGAAGGCACCAAACCGGGAAGGCTATGTAGCACCATCAAAGTGCGAAATAATCAGACGGCGCTAAATATCACCAAGTAAGTAATTATCAAAAGAAGGCACCAAATCGGGAAAGCTATGTAGCACCATCAAATGCGCAGAATAATCAGAGGGCGCTAAATATCACCAAGGATGCCAATACGAGAACAAAAACGCATAAAGCGAACGATATCAAAGTATCCGATTCACCTAAAATTCTATCGAGGGACAAGTGACCGCGAGGGACGGTCGGAAAGCAAGTCACACGCTCGTCCTGGAAGGACGGCAGGGCGGCGCTCCATTAAGTGACCGTAGGTTAAGTGATTGAGGAGTTTGAGTTCAGATGATATGCTGGAGCAAGGAGCGGTACATCTTTTCTCGACGGTGGTCAAGAGGCAACTGAGGGGGACGGAGGGCCCAGCAGCATGGCCTGACAGGAAGCTGCCAGCGGCATCTCAAGACATGTCCCTCGCTTGGACCCGTCCAGTTTGGGGGAATACCCACCACAGTCGGACGACGCGGTGCGGCGTCGGGTGGCGAAATTTAATGCAGGGATATAGTTTATTCTTTATGTTCTGTTTGGCAAACATTTTTATTGGCATGGTAATGGAATTAAAGAGTTGCTTGGGAAGAAATTAATGGAACTTCGAGGCTGGAGGAGTTTGTGCTGGAATCTGTGGAAGAGCAGAACTCCATAGTGAGTTGAACTCAAGAAGTGTAAAGGAGCAGAGAAGGGGAGTTTCACGAGTCTTCGTGGTGATGCATCACTGGTGTTTGAAGAGGACTATATTGTGCAGCAGTTTTGGGAGAACTGCAGAAGAGCCTTTTGAGTAATTTGGAGGACCTAGAGATATATATGGAAGTGAGCCTCCAGAAGCAGAACAGAGCTCTATTGTGGCTACACAGGACTGTATAAGAGGAGTGCTTGAGTGCTTATTGATGTGTAAGACGCAGTGTAAGGTGAGAGATTGATTTCTTGTGTTGGGGAATATTTATGCAGATGTTTCTGGTGTTTCAGCCCCCAGGCTGAGTGTTATATACTATTAGGGCTGAGTGTTGTGGCGAGATTGCAACCCCATTTAGTAAGTGGTAAGCCAAGAGTTGAGCAGCCACTTGATATGGACGGTTCGTGAAGCCATGATATGATATTGTATTGCTACCAGGTTGTAGCAGCTTAGAGTGTTGTATGATATTTCATTTTTGTACCTAACATGTACTGTATATGTCTTTTTCATTTATTAAATGTGTATTGTTAGCGGGCTTTTGCTCTTTTCCTGGTGAGGCTTCCCAGTAAGCAGGAGAGAGAGAGAGAGAGAGAGAGAGAGAGAGAGAGAGAGAGAGAGAGAGAGAGAGAGAGAGAGAGAGAGAGAGAGAGAGAGAGAGAGAGAGAGAGAGAGACAGAGAGAGAGAGACAGAGAGAGAGAGAGAGAGAGAGAGAGGAGAGAGAGAGAGAGAGAGAGAGATAGAGAGAGAGAGAGGAGAGAGAGAGAGAGAGAGAGAGAGAGAGAGACAGAGACAGAGACAGAGACAGAAAGAGACAGAGAGAGAGAGAGAGAGAGAGAGAGAGAGAGAGAGAGAGAGAGAGAGAGAGAGAAGAGAGAGAGAGAGAGAGAGAGAGAGAGAGAGAGAGAGAGACAGAGACAGAGAGAGAGAGAGAGAGAGAGAGAGAGAGAGAGAGAGAGAGAGAGAGAGACAGAGACAGAGAGACCGAGAGAGAGAGGAGAGAGAGAGAGAGAAGAGAGAGAAGAGAGAGGAGAGAGAGACAGAGACAGAAGACAGAGACAGAGACAGAGACAGAGAGAGAGAGAGAGAGAGAGAGAGAGAGAGAGAGAGAGAGAGAGAGAGAGAGAGAGAGGAATATGGCTGCGGACAGGGTGGCAAAAAAATCACAAACGGGGAATTTAGGAGAACCTTCCAAACAAGGAGAGAGTGGAAAGTTGCGGCGGCTCAAGTAGGATGAGTACACAAGACAACAAGGCCAGCGTTGGAGCTGAACCCCTAAGTATGTGATGCTGAACCACTCTCCAAGATCAAGAGGTGTACAGGGTGATTTCCTGAGGAAATTTCAAGCACCCCAGTGTTCATTTTAAATGAACACTGGAGAAAATTAAAACACCCCTGATGCTTTGACCGTACGGGGGATAAAGCAAAACGCACGGGCATAGTCTCCTACTACTGCAATGGCAGTAGAGAAGGGTGGCACCGACAGTAGGGAGGGGTGGGCACCGACAGTAGGGAGGGGTGGGCACCGACAGTAGGGAGGGGTGGGCACCGACAGTAGGGAGGGGTGGGCACCGACAGTAGAGAGGGTGGCAGAGGCATTAGATGGGGAGGCAGTGGCAGTAGAGGGATGGCAGTGGCAGTAGAGAGGGTGTCAGCAGCTGTAGGGGGGGGGGTGGCAGTGGCAGTAGAGGGGGTGCCAGGGGCAGTAGAAGGGGTGGAAACGGCAGTAATGAGAGTGGCAACGGCAGTAGAGGGGGTGGTAGTAGTAGTAGAGGGGGGTGGCAGTGGCAGTAGAGAGGGGGCAGAGGCAGAAGAGGGGGTGGAAGCGGCAGTAGAGAGGGTGGCAGTGGCAGTAGAGGGGGGTGGCAGCAGCAGTAGAGAGGGGGCAGAGGCAGAAGAGGGGGTGGAAGCGGCAGTAGAGAGGGTAGCAGTGGAAGTGGAGGGGGTGGCAGCGGCAGTAGAGAGGGTGGCAGTGGCAGTAGAGGGGGTGGCACCATCAGTAGAGAGGGGGGCAGAGGCAGAAGAGGGGATGGCAGCGGCAGTAGAGAGAGTGGCAGTGGAGGGGGTGGCAGCGATGGTAGAGGGGGTGGCAGCGGTGGTAGAGGGGGTGGCAACGGTAGTAAAGGGTGTGACAGGGGCAGTAGAGGGGGTGGCAGCGATGGTAGAGGGGGTGACAGTAGATGTGTAGCAGCGGTAGTAGAAGGGGTGGCAGTAGAGGGTGAGACAGCGGGAGTTGAGCGGGTGGCGGTGGCAGTGGCAGTAGAGGGGTGGCAGCAGGGATGGCGGCGACAGCAGATGGGATGGCAGCGGCAGCAGAGGAGTATCAGCGGTAGCAGAGGAGGGTGGCAGCAGGTCGGTGGGACGCCCCATTGGGGTGTCCGTCTGGTAGCGACTCACAGCAGGTGGCCCCCACCAGGTCGCCTAGGTGTGAGCCGCACCTCCGAGATAATTATACCTACCAACTGTGTTCTTGCGGAGAGAGCGGTGGAAGAGGAGGACGACTATAACCTCTCCAAAAATGTATGGTTTACCATCCAACGAGGGTCGTCCATGATGCTCCATACCTAAAGGCCGCACAAACGCAAGGGCAAGAACCCCAACCACTGACGAAGTCAAATCACAGTTTACCCTGTCAAACCACTCCCTCCCAGTGGAACAGAACCCATACGCCTCCCCCCACCACCTGCCCCCTCCCACACACACAAAAAAACACATCTGAACCAGCTAAAGCATATGGTTTCCACTAAGATGATATGCGCTATATGATTATTTTGCACAAAGTGACCTGTTAAAAACCGCCAGTCCAGTTCACAACAAACATCGACTCCCGCCAACTCCATGCACTCTACCCTCCCCCCCCCCCCCCACCCTCCAACTCCCAACTCCAAAATAGAACATGGACGGTCTATGTCGCATTCTCCTCTAGTGCTGAAAGTTCTGGTTATTAACAAACAGGACACAGAGGGAGGCGTGGGCGGCCGTAGATATTGGGAATGAACAGGACATTATGGATGGTGTGGGCGAGTTTGGGTGGCAGTGATCAACTTACAGTGGACATTGAGGGTGGTGTGGGCGGCCATGGGCGTGGGTGTTGCTGGGTTGGAGACGAGACACAATACATCGGCCCCGTTGTCGACCTTGGTCACCTGGACTTGTGCTCGCGCCGTGGACAGGTTGTGCTCGTGACCGCCATCTACCGCTAGCATCTCCCCGCGCTTGTACATCCTGCATGGCGGACCAACACATACATACATTACCCGAAAAGATTGATTTGTTCGCCTATAACATTCATAGTGTGAATGCTGGAAAAAATATAAATTCCTTAAGTAACATTTATTTACTAGAAGAGCCCCTCAGAACTATTTTGCCATCAGATCACTGCATATTAATTTGGTACATAATCTTGACCACTTCTCAAGAAATAATTACAGCCTTCAGAACGTGGTCTGTGAACAGTGTGACCTTGTGTCTATGTGGTTAGCTGTAAATTATACCACAGTAATGCAAACGTTGTTCATACTACATGAAGCAAAGGGTCTAGAACACTGTTCATACTACAGGAAGTAACAATTTAAGGAACACTGTTCATACTACAGGAAGTAACAATTTAAGGAACACTGTTCATACTACAGGAAGTAACAATTTAAGGAACACTGTTCATACTACAGGAAGTAACAATTTAAGGAACACTGTTCATACTACAGGAAGTAACAATTTAAGGAACACTGTTCATACTACAGGAAGTAACGAAGTAAGGAACACTGTTCATACTACAGGAAGTAACAATTTAAGGAACACTGTTCATACTACAGGAAGTAACGAAGTAAGGAACACTGTTCATACTACAGGAAGTAACAAAGTAAGGAACACTGTTCATACTACAGGAAGTAACGAAGTAAGGAACACTGTTCATACTACAGGAAGTAACAAAGTAAGGAACACTGTTCATACTACAGGAAGTAACGAAGTAAGGAACACTGTTCATACTACAGGAAGTAACAAAGTAAGGAACACTGTTCATACTACAGGAAGTAACGAAGTAAGGAACACTGTTCATACTACAGGAAGTAACAAAGTAAGGAACACTGTTCATACTACAGGAAGTAACGAAGTAAGGAACACTGCGTAATTGAAAGTAAAGTCTGCTAAACAAGACAGCATTTTTTTTAAATTAATTAGGATGGAACAATCTTACTAAAAAATCTTTATTGACTGTGAACGTAGTCATTAGGTTATTGAAGGTCAGAGTACTGTACAGTTTGTCGAAGGGCAGAGTGTACACCAATGAACACTCTCCTTGCCTGGGTGTACACAAGTGTACACTCTCCCTGCCTGGGTGTACACCAGTGTACACTCTCCCTGCCTGGGTGTACAGCAGTGTACACACTCCCTGCCTGGGTGTACAGCAGTGTTCACTCTCCCTGTCTGGGTGTACACCAGTGTACACTCTCCCTGCCTGGGTGTACACCAGTGTACACTCTCCCTTTCTGGGTGTACAGCAGTGTACACTCTCCCTGCCTGGGTGTACAGCAGTGTACACTCTCCCTGCCTGGGTGTACAGCAGTGTACACTCTCCCTGCCTGGGTGTACAGCAGTGTTCACTCTCCGTGTCTGGGTGTACACTGCCAATAAGTGTGTTTGTCAGTATTCCTAAGTGTCTGTGCTTGCCAGTATACCAAGATGTCTGTGCTCGTCAGTTTATCTAAGAAACTGACTTATCTTATCTTATTTATCTAAGAAACTGCGTGTGAAAGAATATTCATGAGACTGTATTTGTCACTATGGTAATGAGAGTGTGTGTGTATATGAAGAGCCTCGTGCTATCAGTATGTCCAGGAGAATCTGGCAGCATATTTTGCGGTTTGGTAGTATACCTGGAAGACTGTCATTATCTGTATATTCACGACCTGTTGATCCGTTGTATATGCCAGAATATCAAATATACTGTGTTTGCCAGTATACCTTGGAGACTGTTTGATAGAACAACCAGGAAAATGTGAGGGTATATCTGGGAGGCTGTGTTTGTCAATATTCCTTAGAGTGTATATTTACCAGCATACCTAGACGTATGTGCTTGTCAATATATGAACAATGTGTTTGTTCAGTGCACCATTACACTCCAGCAGTCATCCACAGCAACAACCACTGCTCCATAAGACCAGGTGTACAGTGCACCGTCACACTCCATCAGTCATCCACAGCAACAACCACTGCTCCATAAGACCAGGTGTACAGTGCACCACCACACTCCAGCAGTCATCCACAGCAACAACCACTGCTCCATAAGACCAGGTGTACAATGCACCACCACACTCCAGCAGTCATCCACAGCAACAACCACTGCTCCATAAGACCAGGTGTACAGTGCACCACCACACTCCAGCAGTCATCCACAGCAGCAACCACTGCTCCATATGACCAGGTGTACAGTGCACCACCACACTCCAGCAGTCATCCACAGCAGCAACCACTGCTCCATAAGACCAGGTGTACAGTGCACCACCACACTCCAGCAGTCATCCACAGCAACAACCACTGCTCCATAAGACCAGGTGTACAGTGCACCACCACACTCCAGCAGTCATCCACAGCAACAACCACTGCTCCATAAGACCAGGTGTACAGTGCACCACCACACTCCAGCAGTCATCCACAGCAGCAACCACTGCTCCATAAGACCAGGTGTACAGTGCACCACCACACTCCAGCAGTCATCCACAGCAACAACCACTGCTCCATAAGACCAGGTGTACAGTGCACCACCACACTCCAGCAGTCATCCACAGCAACAACCACTGCTCCATAAGACCAGGTGTACAGTGCACCACCACACTCCATCAGTCATCCACAGCAACAACCACTGCTTCATGTGGGGTTAACTTTTCTCGAAGATTGAGGAAAGATGTACAGGTTCCTAAGTTGATGCGTAAATGCTTGTTGAATCCAGGCACTGGGCGGATCATAATAATTATAATGTTACAGACTCAGGTGTAGCACTGCCTGCATTAATCTACAAAACGGTGGAATGAGTGAGAGTGATATAATCCTTGACCTTTGTCCAGTATGCCTCTGATTTATTCTCGGAGAAACTTTATAAATAACGCATTTACCCTAATTTACCTGATGGCTACTAATACTAGTGGCCTTGATGAGGACAGGAACCCAGCGGCTTGTCATAGGTCCCTCCATTTGCCTTGATAATCTTTTCAAGATGTATTTTAAAACCCAGCAGAGTTTTGGCGTATACGGTTTCGGCGGGAAGGCGGTTCCACGGGGTTACAACCTCATGGGTGAAAAAGTATCTCCTGTTCTCAGTCTTACATTGGGGCTTGTTGAGCTTGAACCCGTTGCTTCTCGTTCGTGTAACATCTGACCTTCTGAAGAAAGTGTCCGGATCAACATCCTCCAAATTGTCGGTGACCATCAAACAACATGTAGGTGCATATGTTAGGGACCTGGACACAACACAGGCAGGCAGGGTGATCAGACAAGTTAGGGACCTGGACACAACACAGGAAGGCAGGGTGGTGAGACAAGTTATGGACCTGGACACAACACAGGAAGGCAGGGTGGTGAGGCAAGTTAGGGACCTGGACACAACACAGGAAGGCAGGGTGGTGAGGCAAGTTAGGCACCTGGACACAACACAGGAAGGCAGGGTGGTGAGGCAAGTTAGGCACCTGGACACAACACAGGAAGGCAGGGTGGTGAGGCAAGTTAGGCACCTGGACACAACACAGGAAGGCAGGGTGATGTTGTGTACAAGTCAAAAAGAAGCAGAGACTAAGTACCCACGTAACATTGGGTGGAGGGCGACCTCCCTCGCTGGTACACACAAGCTTCACTCTGACGCCAGCGACCACTCCCGATCCTCCGCCGCTCTCTATCTTCAATACCGGCTTGCCAGGACGCTCTGCAGCGTCAGCACCACCAGCAGTGCCAGCACCATCAGCAGCGTCAGGACCACCACCAGCAGCGTCAATACCACCAGCAGAGTCAGCACCCCCACCAGCGTCAACACCACCACCATCGTCAGGACCACCGCCAGCGTCAACAGCATCGGTACCGTCAGCAATTACAGCAAAAGCAGCAGCAACAACAGGAAATTTATCCATGGGTTAGTGTATTTCACATATACATAATTATTTATAAATTAAATATATTTTCGGCCTGAATAATACGTTCAAACTAAGATTCATTAATCAGTGATTATAAAAAAATATGTCAATAGAAGATTAAACAAAACAAGAATGAAGAAAAATTATTTATAAGATAACTAGGACTTTAAGTCATGTATATAATTCATGACTTAAAAATGGATATAATGCTGGTTAGTATTGAAATGTGTGGCAACGTGTTTGGTAGAAGAAAAAAACAGTCACAAAGTTAATGTAACTTGACATACATTAGTTTAAATTAATATTGATATAATGATATCATAAGTTACTGAAGCAAACTTTTCAGTAAGTTCAAAATCTTGCTGCCATAATGTTGAAGAGATTATCCCACTAATTGTTATTTTAATCTCTCAATGACCAACTGGACTATAAGGCCTTCATATCCCATCACTCGGAGACCACTGAGAGGCAAGGGAGGTGGGATACTAACACTCGGAGACCACTGAGAGGCAAGGGAGCTGGGATACTAACACTCTGAGACCACTGACTGCCACGGGTGCTGAGAAACTAGCACTCCTAGACCACTGAGTGCCAAGGATGGTAGGAAACTAGCACTCGGAGACCACTGAGAGGCAAGGGTGGTGCGATACTAACACTCGGAGACCACTGAGAGGCAAGGGTGGTGGGATACTAGCACTCGGAGACCACTGAGAGGCAAGGGTGGTGGGATACTAACACTCGGAGACCACTGAGAGGCAAGGGTGGTGGGATACTAGCACTCGGAGACCACTGAGAGGCAAGGGTGGTGGGATACTAGCACTCGGAGACCCCTGAGAGGCAAGGGTGGTGGGATACTTGCACTCGGAGACCACTGAGAGGCAAGGGTGGTGGGATACTAGCACTCCTAGACCACTGAGTGCCAAGCATGGTAGGAAACTAGAACTCGGAGACCACTGAGAGGCAAGGGTGGTGGGATACTAGCACTCGGAAACCCCTGAATGCCATGGGTGGTGGGAAACTAGCACTCCTAGACCACTGAGTGCCAAGAATGGTAGGAAACTAGAACTCGGAGACCACTGAGAGGCAAGGGTGGTGGGATACTAGCACTCGGAGACCACTGAGAGGCAAGGGTGGTGGGAGACTAACACTCGGAGTTTGTAAAACCTTCCTAATTAGATTGATTCTGGCAGCATTTTGATCCCAAAATGGCATAACCGTAGCTCTTGCATCGTCTGGAATAGCTGCGATATTACTACCAGGTGGAAGAACTGCTACTTCAGCTATGAAATTGCCATTGAACATGCAATTCATTGAAACTCCCACGTGCAACATTTCCAAAGCATCCCGGCATAGGAAAAGCATTGGACAAATGTAAACTTATTGTTTGGGATGAAAAATATGAACAAAGGATGAACATGTAAATACATGACATGGAATGAGATGTCGATACTTTGCTGAAATGATGTGAGGCTCTCGGGACCTCTTGACCTTACTTGAGCAACAGGAGTTGTGAGAGAGTGGGTAGTTCTGAATTTGAGCTCCAGGCAGAGGAGGAACCCCTAACTGAGGTCCCCTTTCAAGAGGAGGGAATCAAGCAGGTATTTATGTGTTAAGTAATTATCAAAAGAAGGCACCAAACTGGGACAAACTATGGTGCACCATTAAATGTGCGGAATAATCAGAGGGCGCTAAATATCACCAAGGATGCCAATATGAGAACAGAAACGCATAAGGTGAACAATATCAACAGCATCCAATTCACCAAGAATTCTATCGAGGGACAAGCGACCGCGAGGGACGGTCGGAAAGCAAGACACACGATCGTCCTGGAAGTCAGGACATTCAACAAGGATATGCACGACCGTAAGAGGGACACTGCAGTTTGGACAATAAGGAGCTGGGCGACGCTCCATTAAAGGGAGGCATAATGCAAAAATGGCCAATAAATGAGAACTAGCTCGATTTCATTTAAACTTTTTTGAAGAGTTGTATATAAAAAGGGTTTCATCTG